ATATATATATCGTCAAATAGTATATATCGTCAAATAGTATATATATATATATCCAAAGCTTCTAAATCCCGATGTTCATCAAGTTTGCAAACCAATGCTTGATTCCAACCTCAGGCTGGTGGAGCGGTTCAGGGTACTGCATCCGAACAAGAAGCCTATTTTCACTGGCCAAAAGAACCCTGCCCAACACACAGCATTTTCTTACAGTTGTTGTTCCACGAAAGCAACAGTGGCCCAAAAACTCTGGAGTGTAATCCTAATCCTAGATTACAACCCACACTGGAGCAGTTACACCACATAGTGATAACACTCAATTTGTGATCTGAACCTGAGTAGAGAGGGTCAGGGGTACAATTTGTTTTCCTCTTACTGTCATCTTTTCTTTTCTTTTTTTTTTCTTTTTTTTTGGGACAAAGGCATCAAGCCTCCAATCTATTCGTGGGGAGCATCACGTGCTGAGAACCGGGCGCAGCGTCCGTTCAGTAGTGTTTCCAGAACTCACAAGTACTTCACTTCTCGAGGAAGCCTACACATCGGTCAGGAGTAGTGATGCCCAACACGCAACATTCTTGACAAGTTAAATACTTGTGAGTTTTGGAAAAACTACTGAACTGAAGACAGTCCAGAGGAATAGACATTGTACCCCTGACCCACTACTCAGGTTCAGATCACAAATTGAGTGTCGTCACTTGAGGACATGTGCACAACTAATGCACATTAGAGTCATTAGGCATGATTGAAGCGCTGTCTGGAATAACATCACGATGTAACAGCTTAAAAAACATATCTTTGTAAAATCCTGTCCAATCCAGAAAGAAATGGTACCCCTTTTTTTTTTTGTGTGTGTGTGTGCGAGAGAGAGAGAGAGAGAGAGAGAGAGAGAGAGAGAGAGAGAGAGAGAGAGAGAGAGAGAAAGAAAGAACATGTGTGTGTGTGTGTGTGTTCCTCCTAATTATGAAGTGTCAACAGAAAAAGAGTAAGACACTTGGTAGACATTGTTTCATAGGAAGAGACTTGGGCATAATCCACTGGCACAACAGGATTGACCATGAGTGACATCACAACCGCTCAGAAAACTATAAAAGATAAAGGGGGTGCATGCGAAGAAGATATGAAAAAGAAAATGTAGCGAAGATCGCGGAGGCAGGGAAAGTGAAATTAAAGAAAATCTGAAAATGTGACAAGGGGCTGATGATTATGTCTCATTGGACTCGGGAATGTGTCAAGATATCGAACCGCAATAGGCTCAAAACCCGCATCAAACAGTGAGTGGTAGTGTAAGCACCTGCTGCCTATGTACTTGTATTCAACGATTGGCACCAGGGCACAACAGCTAAAAGTTCCACCCCAACTTTGCTGGGAAAAAGGAGACCCAAGGGAGAAAGGCCCTTGGGCATCAGGCAGAAAAAGGCATACACACACGAGCCCGCGCAAGGGGTGGTAAGTGCCAAAAGAGTAAAAGAAAAAAGGAAACAGTGAGTGGTAGTGTAAGCACCTGCTGCCTATGTACTTGTATTCAACGATTGGCACCAGGGCACAATAGCTAAAAGTTCCACCCCAGCTTTGCTGGGAAAAAGGAGGCCCAATGGAGAAAGGCCCTTGGGCCCAGGCGGCTAACGGGAAAATGCCCTTGGGCCCACCGACAGCAAGGAAACAAGCAAACTAGCAGCCTGTAGAGTTTGCATTTGTACACCCCTGAGGCATTTTCGCCGTTCGTTTAGGCCCAAATTGGTTGTTGAAAGGCTGTTTAAATTGCAGGTAGGGGCTCAGGGGCATTTCAGGGGCGTGGGCGGTGCCTGCAACCGCAGGAGCGGTAGCCGGCCGCAGTCCTGAAAAAGAACAAAACGGCAGGTCAGGGTCCAGGTGCTCAAGTGGAGAAATTCGAAAGTCTGCAACGGCGAAGTTCCCAAGAAGTCCTTTCTGAGCAATTTCCCCGCATCGGACCCTGACCCGCCGTTTTGTTCTTTATCAGGACTAGGGCCAGCTACTGGTCTTCAGCAACGTCCAGGTGCGGCAGGTATTTTGCTCATAAATTTGAAAGTCTGAAACGGCGAAGGTCCCAAGAAGACCTTTCTGAGCAATTTACCCGCATCGAACCCTGACCCGCCGTTTTGTTCTTTGAACTTCTTTTTCAGGACTACCGTAGGGCCAGCTACTGGTCTTCAGCAAGGTCCAGGTGCGGCGGGTATTTTGCTCATAAATTTGAAAGTCTGAAACGGCGAAGGTCCCAAGAAGACCTTTCTAAGGAAGTTACCTGCCCGTGCAGCGCCAAGCAGGTGACCACATGATTGTCGTGGCGGGGGAGCCACATCAAACTGCACAGGCCACCTTGCTTGCGGAACCTCAAGACTTTTCTGAGTGGATCTGGCATTATGCTGGCCAGATACTGCAGGCAGAATCCTAGTACGGGGGTGCACAGGAAGGTCAGCTTACATGATGGGTGCAAAGGTGGGACATGGAACTTGTATCTGTCTGCACGGTTGCCGCACTGGTGGGACTTTCTGGAACACCAACCATGTAGTGCCACCGACCGATAGGGCATGCCGTCATTTGGCATAAGCTGCTGATTTCATCAAGATGCGAACCCGTGCAGATGCATGCCTCACAGGCGTGCCTCCGCCACACCCCTCCACCAAAGTCAATTTCTCCCTTTAAGCTTTTTTTTTTTTTTTTTTCAATCATAATTATGTTCTCCCAAAACAACAATTCACATACAAAATTCAAAACAGTTTTAACCGTTCAAAGACACAAACCACGGGCTGCATACCCATCCCCTCATGGTAAGTCAATGAGTGGATGATGAGGTAGGGAGCAAGGTAACCAAAAGCATCAAGATAAGCATGTAGATGTATAGTGGGGTAAAGGAGCCCACAGGCAAGTAAATAACAAGGGCCAGCAGCAGGGTGCAAGGCAAAAAATGACACGTTGACAGGTTGTCAAGCAACACGGAAAGGGACCTTCAACATACATTTCAATATAAAGAGGATTTATTACTTATCAATGTTATCATAATAATATTATAAGTAAAATTTTACAAACTACAAGTTCACACCCACCATCCAGCATAAATACATGGATTGGCTTTCATAAATACATGTCAGCACCGGGGAACACATCGACACGCAAAACCTCCCCTGATAATGTTACAAACACTTAATATATATTAATATAATACAATATATGCTTTAATATTATTTATAGAATATTTTTTCTATATT